AGAGAGAGAGAGAGAGAGAGAGAGAGAGAGAGAGAGAGATGGGATAAATGAAAGGTGAATAAAAGAGGAATATGAGACATATCAATAACAATGTATAGCTTGAATGCTAGAGGCAAACACTCTCAGAACTGATTTCAGACTTCACTACCCATTACCACCTGTGGATTTTCTCATCCGTACTATCTGAATAATATCTACCTTTAGGGAATGTACAAGGTAATACTGACAAAATGTGTAAGGCAATAGCTCTTGGACCACTGTCAAGCATTTGACAAACATCCAGTCTTTTTAGCCTTAATTGTATTGTTATTATTCCATGAATTCCTAGTGATAAAAGTGTCTTATATTCTTATCTATGATTTTTAGGGTCAGAATAATCAACTAGTGTAAATTAATCATGATCTCTGTCTAAAATTTCTTCCTAATTTTAATTTTCCTAAAATTTAATTTTGTAGGCAAAACCTACATTCATTTCTATTTGTTACATGCCTTAGCATATGCGTTTCTATTATTTATTTTTATAGACAAATTCTATCATCAATCACTATTTTCCAACGATCATTATTTTGGCTGAGGAGAAAAAGGATCCTGAAAGAAGATATAGGATGTTTCAATAGCTTTTTAGGGAAGCTCAGATGTCACTGAACCAATTTCTAGATTAATCTGTTAAATAAATGGCCCATGAACGTATGTATGGGTAGATAATCAATTGATGAAAGCAAATAATTGTTTTGAAACATTTTCTGTTTATTTTATATAGCTCTTTTAAACAGACTGATTAGTTCCCTTTATGATTTCACTCTTGAAAGCATACACTATTTTGTTCTTTGCCGTTGTTGCATGACATTCCTTTTGGCAGTTGGCTTATTTTTAGCCAGACTATCAAAGTATTTTTCAACTGAATTGTCATTGCACTTGAACTTGGAATCTTGTAACCCTGAAGAACTGCTCTGAAGAGAAGTAAAAACTTCTAACAAATGGGAAATTATAAATCTAGACCAACACAAACTTGTACTGGTAATTATTCTTGCTACTTTAAATGTAATATTGTTCAATTATAGTTATAGATAAGAATTAACTAATTGGAAAATGTGTTAATTTGTACATAGAGGATATCATATGAAAGTGTTGGGCAGAGTATCTGAACTCATTTTTCTCTGAAAGATCTTTACATAAGTCAGAAAACGTCTTATAAAAATATTAGATTAGTACATTGATATGTTATAAAAAATTTATAATACTGTATTATAATACTATAATATCTCAGAATTATAGCTTAGATTTCTAATATTTAAAGCCTAAAAATTAGTGACAAGGACTACTATAATTAAAATGTAATAAAATAAAATGAAATAAATCAATGTATATTTCTAACTAAATATACTATCCTATATCAAATGGATTCTTAACTAGTACAATTCAGTACGATTGTATTTTAATATAAACATCTTCATTTTAAACTCTTAATCAGTAATTCAAATTAAATATTGTAGAATCCAGAATAGAAAAGAGTTTTGATTACTTGTACATTATAAACTATGTTTTATAAAATACAAATCAATATAATCTGTTTTTCTTTGCTAGATGAGTGGAAGAAGAAAGTCAATGAATCTTATGTTATTACAATAGAAAGATCAGAAGATGACCCGAGGATCAAGGAAAAAGAATTTACAGAGATGAGACATATTTTTGGGTAAAGTTTTCAGAGTTACTATTTATTCATATAACTATCTTTATCATTAATCTTGTTTTAGATGTGTCCATATTTGAGTGTGTATGTGTGTGTGTGTTTGAATGTATATACATAAAGCCTTGTATACAGCAAATCATGTTCTAAGTCTCAAAATATCAGGTCATCTCTTTTGACCACACCTACAGTGCAAATATCTCACTTCCTTAACTGCAAACATTGCACCTTAAAATATGACAGCATTCTTTCGCTACTAAAGTTTAAGAGAGATTAAACTTCAAAGAGATTAAGCTTGTTTTTAAATATAAGCTGTTATGGATCTGAATAATCTTCTCTGGAACTAGATCATTCTTATAACCAATGCCGGCATCAAGCACCAGGACTTCTCTCCCCCATGTGGCAGCATACTAGCTGTATTGTTCTTTAGACTACTACTTTAAGTCCAGCTTAGCAAACCTTCGGTCTCTTGATATTGAAAGTGTGGAATTGAATGTTATCCTGCACCTGAGTAATCATATAATGACATGCAACACTAGCTTCAGGCTTTCGGTAGGTTTTGTTCCATAATGAGATAAAAAATAATCTGAGAGCACGACACAACCTTGGAAGACAAAAAAAAAAAAATATTCAGAAAAGAGGAGCAATAGCTTCATGTACACAGACAACCTTAGGGAGAAACTAGATGCACCTTGGTGTATTTAGCTAGCTGTCTATGCCAATTTCGCATGTTCCCCTTCAGCTATATTGTTTGTGTCATTTACTCATGGCTAAGAACTCCCTAGTTTTAATTAGAAAACAACTGTAAAGCAACAAGCAAATGGCATTATGCTTTTGAAAAAAAATTCAGATATAGTAAATATGTAAATATTATATAACTGGCAAATAAAATCATCCATGCATCCTAAGGTTTATATGAAATATGGCGGTAGAATTATTAAGGCCTTTATGGGTATTCAATTTATAGTTTAGCAAATGATTGGTTCTCTGATTTGGTCCAAAATGATGAACTCAACACTTTTACTTTGATAAGATTCAACTGGAATACTACTTTTGCATCACATTCAGGTACAGTAGGAAAACATTTGAAACTCCTGTAGAGATGTGACTAGCATTTATATAAGATATGTATAAGATATATATTGGAAAATATAAATATAGAACTGAATCATAAGCCTTCTAGCACTTATTGATTCAAATAACTTTGCTGAAGAAAATGGGAGTAAGTTGAAGAGATTTTTCTCAACTTTACAAAAGTCCAAACCTCATTTTTTTGTTATTTTTTAATGTAGGAAGTACTGTTAAATATGGCAAGGCTAGCTTAAACTAGGAAATCCATTTTGGTATTAGGCTCAATAATAGACTTTAGATGGACAGGTTTGTTGTTTTTTTTTCTCATACCATAAGTGCCAGCTATTTTAAGCTTACCTCTGCTAAATTCAGCAGCAAAGGTGACCTTTTTGCTGATTAGTGCTGGAAGATAAAGGCAGAGATCAGTGTCAGGGAATTTAAAATCCAAAATTTGTTGAGTGACAGCTATGCTTGGGGTAGTGTCCCAGAAACATTGTATACAAGACATTATTTAGTCCCTACCATAATGTTGTTTGGTGTATGATGTTAATTTTGGTGGATAACAAAGCTAAGGATAACATATTGTGATTCGTGCAGATTATATAGCCAGAAAATACTAGATTGTGATTCATAAGATATGTCTCCATAAATAGAGCTCTTCTTACTACACCCTGCTGCTTGCTGCACGAATTCACAATTTGGTTGAGGGGAGACTTACATATATAAATAACCCTCACAGACAACAGGCTGTAACAAATGCTAACTGGAAGAAAAAGTGAGTGGGTTTTCAAACATAGAAGAGTCAAGCCTTGATTTATCAATTTTGTTTGGTTGGGTTTTGAGGCATGGCTTTGTTATGTAGTGCAGACTTCCCTTCAACTCACTATGTAGCCCAGGCTGGCCTCTATCTCACAGTGATGCTTCTGCCTCAGCCTCCTGAGTGCTGGGATTACACCATCATGCTTGAGTGATTTATCAGTTTTAAATGCAAGAATAGATGAGTGCAATGGAAATTTTATGAGACATGAAAATTAAAGTCTTGTCCAGATTATGTTAAGAAAGCTCTGCCAGTCAGTGTAAGGCTTTTGGAGTCATGCAAACATAAAATTAAGTCCAAGTTCTTTTATAAACTGTATATGCTTACCTATGTTTCGTAATGTTCTTGAGCCTCATTTGCATTTGTAAAATGAGGTAAATAATACCAGTCCCCCAGTATATTTGAAAATGATTTAAAGTAAGTTCTAAGTATGGAGGCCAACATACAGTAAGCATTGAATAGCTGGAGACTTGTTTTATGCTGATTGATTGGCTTAATAAGGACAGCATGGAATAAAGGAGACTTACTGTGGAGTAGGAATGACATATACTAGTTTATTAAAAGTTAGGAAATGAGAGAGTTTACAATGTTTACATATGAAGAGAATATTTTAAAACACTTAAAATATAAAATGCTGTAACAATTCATTATGATTCCAAAATCTCAAATATAGCTGTTCAGTATCATAGATGGAATTTGAAGAATTCTTAGACCAGAGTATTAGGAGGCTCAGCACAATGGATTTCAAATTTCCAGAAGATGATCCTTGCAGACTTTGCAGAGAGGAAGACTAGTGGCTAGTGCTGTTGCTGACAAAGCTGGGGGGAGGTCTTCTCACACGCCAGGCATGTCTCTCAGGTGCCCAGCACCTCCTAGGCTGGTGTATCCTGCAGCATTTGCTAAAAGTCATAGGTTCCATAGTGCTAGCTCATATCAAATGAGTCAGTATCTGTGGTCCTAACTTGGAAGAATCTGAATTGTTGACTTATACACGCCTTGAGAGAGCAAACAAACAAACCAAAATAGAGTGCTGTGCTTTGACTCCATCAGGGCAGATAACATCATCTGGAAAGTCAATTGCTTCTAGGGCGGAATTCTAAGAATTTCCTTTTCTTTGGAATAAAATGATGAGTGACCAGGAGAAAAAAGAATAGCATACTGAGAATATCTGTTATCTTATTCACTGGCTGGTCCACCAAAATTTTAAGGGCAGTTGGGAAATGAAGCATAATTTTATATGAAATAATATTTAATATCTAAGTACTAAATAAATATTAGAATCTCTTTACTTTTTATTCTTAATCATAGCTTATCTACTGTAAAGGGACTACCTATGATAACATTATGTTAACTAAGTAGAGCCTTTCTCTAAATCTGTAGATAGCAGGAAAAATTGTACACAGTGCTCAAAAGTGTACATCAAACATAGGAATCACAAGTGGAAGATCTCTTCTGTAAACCCAAATTGTTTGCTTTTGCTAACAAATTTATTTTTTCTTAGTAGATACTAATTTAATTCATTAAAAGAGATTTTCTACTATGTAATGCACCATTGCTTTGTCAGAGCAAATAAGCAGCATTCATGACATAGATTTTGCCAGCACTATAATAAAGGGGAAATAGTACTTAATTTAATTCAGTCATAAAGAGCTCCATCATTATCTTTCCTATGCAATTTACAGCAATTTGGGAATGAGAGGGGAAAGGAATGAAATGGAAATGGAATGTGGTTTCACCTTCTACAACAAAGTTACTTTCACTCATATCTTTGGACATTTATTGAAATAACAAATGAGAGATGGGAAGAGATGAAAAAAGAGAAGGCAAAAGGAGAAGGAAAGACAAAAGTGATATGTTAGGACATAACTGACTGAGTCTACTGCCTCTGATCTTTATGTCTAGTGGTATAATGACACTGATGATGTTGTCTGTATCCATTTACAGGTCTGTCTCCTCACTAGTATATGTGCTTACTAAAGGTGCTTCTTCCTCTTCTTTAGCCTTGTTTATCTTTATGTTTATGTATAGTAACTATTTATATAGCACTTGAAAGGAAGTCCCACTAATAGCTTACTGCCTACCATATACTAGGCATGTTGCTAAGAATGTTTATGTGACTTTACCTCATATAATACTGATGATATATATGCAAAGGGCTCTAAAACAGTGTTTGGCCGATGGTAAATACTGAAATCTGTTAGTTAGAAACTAACCGTTATTGTTTATACTAACATCACTCAAATAGATATTGTAATTGCTATTTTATTGCAAAAAAATGAGGCTAATGAAAGTAAACTTATTGAAACTAGGTTATGCAGTTTGTATAAATGAGCGGGAATTGCATCTATCATTGTTTGACTTCAAAATATATGATCTTCCTGATCTTGGTTCTCAACCTAGGAGGGGAAAATAGAAGTGGATGAGAATTATCTTTGAAAAAAATTTCACTTTTAATATGCCACTATACAATTTTTATGTATGTTGTGTATGAGAATTTTCTATGGGTGGTGGGAGAATACACATTTAAAAAGCAACTACTCAGGCAATATCAGTTAACTTCCCATAATTTTTGAAAACCATTCACATAGTTCTACATACATAACTTTTAAAAGGCTTCCAATTAAATTATTTTGCTTCAATATATTTTAAGGCATAAAAAAGTTTCAGAACTATTTTGCCAATTCTTTGTCAAGTGTACTTTTACCTGCTTAATCTTAATATGAAATTTTAAAATATAAGGAGATTTCAGAGGGCTTACAATTTTCCAGTGCCATGACTTATCAACATAGTCTAAAAACAATCTATTTTTCTCAATTTTAATCTATTTTGGATTGAATAGATACATCTTGGTCAATAATGATATCACATTTTGAAATTAAGTTTATTAAGTGCACAAAAATGGTCAAAAGAATATTACCTTCCATGTGAAAGCAGTCACAGTAGTTAGAGGAAATGAAAACAGAGAAGAAGAAAAAATAATGGAGCCTTTCTGATGAATACCTTTCTATTTATTTTCCCTTGAAAATTTCCTGTAAGCCCACCTGGATCACATCACACTCATCCTCCAAATGAAACCTCTTTTAAAGATCTCTTTCAGAGCTATAGCTAACTATGCAAT